TATTCAGGGGAGGCAACATGCTTTCAATGACGAATGAGCTGACATTAAAAGATTGGGAAGACAAAATATTTGCAAAATATTGTACAGCGATTTCACTATTGGATAATGAGCCCATGGATCTTCCTGACGAACTAAACTGAGAGCAACTTCAATTTCTTCATATTTCATGTAAGGTGTCCTCCTTGAATGTTCCAGAGTGGTTTTTTGCACGGACGAGTGAGTTAAAAGTGTTAGACTTGACCAGCATGAACTTATTGTCTTTGCCTTCATCAATCACTCAACTAGCAAATCTTTGTACGCTGCGCCTTGATAAATGTCTATTAAAAGACATAGGTATCATTGGAGAGCTGAAGAATTTGGAAATTCTTTGCCTTCAGCGAGCAAAAATTGAGGAGCCACCGGAGGAAATTAAGCAGCAAACCAAGCTAAGGTCTTTGAATTTGAGTAAGACCAAAATCAAGGTAATTCCACCAAATCTGCTTTCAAGTCTGTCCAGATTGGAACAGCATATTTGTGTGAAAGCTTTGTTGAGTGGGAGGTTGACGAAGGGAAAAATGCCTGTCTCGTTGAGTTGAAAGATTTGTCATGCCTGACAAGTCTGGAATTTCATATTCGTGAAACCAACATTATGCCAAAAGACTTGTTCCATGAAAGGTTGGAAAGATTCAAGACTCTAATTGGAGAAGCATGGAACTGGTATGGTTTGTTTATCACAAGAACATTGAAACTGAAGTTAAATACAAGACTCCATTAAGATCGTGGGATAAAAATGTTGCTGAAGAAATCCGAGGCTCTATATCTGAATCTAGATGAACTAGAAGGTGTGAAGAGCCTTCTTTACGAGTTAGACCATGAAGGTTTTCCAAACCTCAAGTATCTCCATGCCAAAAGTGGCTCCAACATTGAGTACATTATTCATTCCAAGCAGTGGATTATCTCTGAAGCATTTCCTGTCTTGAGAGTCATTATATCTGCAGAATTTGACAAATTTGAAGAAAATTTGCCATGGTCAACTCCCACCAGAATCATTTTTTTTTTGAAAGGCAAATTTATCGATGAAGTCTCTTAAAAAGATAACAAGCTAAACAGCTTTCAAAAGAGCAAAAGCATCCTCACATACAAGGATCGGCAAGCATCAAAAGCAATCTGATGTGCGAACAGGGAAGTATTTCCTGTTTTAAGAGTCATTATATCTGCAAAATTTGACAAATTTGAAGAAAATTTGCCATGGTCAACTCCCACCAGAATCATTTAGTAGACTAAAAAACATGAAAGTTGGAAGCTGTGAGAAACTGAATAATCTGTTTTCATTCTCCGTGGCCAAAGTGTTTCTTCAACTTGAAGAAATTGAAGTGAATGATTGTGAAAATGTCACAGAGATTATTTCTGAGGAAAAAGCCATTGATGATAATGAAGCAATGGACGCACTGGTGTTTCGGCAATTACAGTCTCTGAGACCTCTACAATCTCTCCCGCAGCTCATTTGCTTCTGCTCTAGAGAGGTTCATCCAAAGACAAGCAGTACGAGGTCCACATCAGACAAGGTAATTTCCAAGCGAAACGTACCTATTTTTACTTTATCCACATCGCTAGTCCTAGATATGAAGTATGGAATTGGAACTTTTTTTAATTGATTTTAAGTTTTTTTTTAAGAGTTTCTGTTTTGAAGATTCTTCACCTCAATCCTCAATACCTTTGGCTTGTTAACATTGAATAATCACATTATATCTATCAGGGCGTTTACCATGTTTGATCAGAATTTTTCAGATGAACCATGCGAGGCATATCCATCTTTAGTTAACAAATGCATTACCCCTTTAACGTTAGGAAACAATTAGAACCATATCCTATGCTTTATTTGTTTTAATCAACTAAGAAAGTTGTTCAGAAACAAAGAAATTAAAAGAATTATATGTATGCAGAATTTGTTCCCTGGCAAGGAATTGCAGTAATATTGGATGACAAGGAAGCAACCAACAAAAGTGTGTCTAGTCTGTCTCGGTCCTTGAGACTACAATCTCTCTCAAAGCTTTGCTTCTGCTGGAGAGAGGTTAGCTATACCGAGACAACCAGCACAAGTTCCAGAGATATGACACTGTTGAACCAAAAGGTAAATGACTTTCATTTTTAATTCTTTTGGCCTGATTAACATAGAATCAATACCATTAACTAAGTTAGTGTAACAAGTTCAAATATACCAACTGATCAGTTCTTACTTTCTTACAAAAGGAATTATATATATGTATGCATATTTTGTTCCCTAGCAAGGGTTTTACATCGTTCCATTGCATTCAAAATTTGACAAGCTTGGTTATTAAGGATTGTAATTCACAACATCTGTTTCCAGTTTCCGTGGCTACAACTCTAATGCAGCTTAAATTTCTGGAGATAAACGATTGTGAAATGATGAGAGCGATATTAATCACGGAAGAAACCGGACAAGTCATATATAAGGTTTCGTTTTCTCAGCTGAACTCTCTGAAGCTGATAAATCTTCCCAGGCTAAAAGGATTTTGTTCAGGAAACTCGATATTAATCGAATTTCCATCCTTGAAGAGATTGGAGATAGACCAATGCTCAGAATTGAAGGAATTTGTCTTCAAATCTATCAGTATAGACAGAAAACCTGAAGATACTGACTCTGACAGCAGCTTAAAAAACCCTCTCCTTAATGAAAAGGTGTTGTGGAATTTATTTATTTATTTCTGTATTTTCCTTTATACTTGCATTACCTTTCTCGGTACATGTTGACAAGGTCTGAAGGATTCATACCTTAAACCTCAACCCTCTTAAAAAGAGATAATAAGTTACAAATTGTTTGGCCAATGCTGATTATTATCTTAATTGAACTTATAAACTATCTACTATTCACTTTCCATCTCCATTTCTTATTACCAATTGTATTCTTCTGTCTATGGGGCCCTGAACGTTGTAGGTTACATTTCCGAGCTTGGAGACAATGATAATCAACCGTCTGAAAAACTTGACTCAGATATATCATAACCACTTGGCCGCAGATTCCTTTTGCAAACTAAAACTAATGCAAGTTCGACTGTGTGAGAAGTTCTTAACCACTTATCCGTCTGATAAAAGCACGTTGAGGAAATTCCAGGAATCATTGACACTAGGATTATACGGTTGTGGTTCACTACAAGAAGTATTTAATCTCCAGGGGATACCTGTGGAAGAAACAAAAGCTGCAGTAGCTACTCAATTGAGCAAGCTGTATCTCTGTAAGCTACCAAATTTGAAGTTTGTGTGGAATAAGGACCCTCAAGGAATACTTACCTTTCAAAATTTGCAGCTTCTGAGCGCCCGTAAATGAGAGTCTCAAGCATATATTTCCAACCTCAGTGGCTAAAGGTCTTGCACAGCTTGGAATACTAGAAGTGAAGGAATGCGGGGTTGGAAGAAATTGTAGCAAAGGAAGAGGGAATAGAAGAAGCCATTGAATTCGGATTTCCTCGGTTATCTACTGTAGAAACTTTTCCACCTAACGAAACTCAAATGCTTCTACCCAGGTCCCAGGGACACATACTACACACTGGCCAGTTTTGAAAAAGTTTGGTTGCCTCCCACTGCCGAGGACTAAAGATATTTGGTACAGATGATAGCAACAATGAAATAAATGAGATGGACAGACAGCAGCCACTTTTCTTGTTTGAAAAGGTAATGAAGTTCCAAAATGCATAATTGGGGGATTTTTCCTGTAAACTAGCTTTATAAGTGCAGAATATTGTTCACTTTTACTGAGGTGCATTGGTCTTCTTTTTTTTTTTTTTTTGGAATTTCATGGTACAGAGGGGCATTGGTCTTAACTTGTTCATGCTCAATATGTTTCCAGGTCATCCATCAATAGGACGAATTGTCATTAAACCGTTATGACATTGCATCAATAACTGACCGCCAGTATCCAGTGGACTATTTTCATTATGTCAAAGTTCTCCGTGTGGCGTCCTGTCATGATAACATATCTGGTTTTCCATGTTTTCTGCGAAGATTCTACAATCTGAAGAAGCTTGTTGTGGTTTCTTGTAAATTCAGAGAGTTATATGAGGGGACTTCCCCATCGGACCCAGTTCATCAAAAACTTGAGAGTATAGAAGTGTGGGAATGTGATTTGTTGAGTAGTTTAGCGCCTTCAGCATCTTTCCAGAGTCTCACAACTCTTGATGTGTGGAACTGCCAAGGGATGATCAATTTAGTTTCATCATCAACAGAAAGAACTCTGGTGCAACTGATGGACATGAGAATAAGAGAATGCAATAAGTTGACAGAAATAGTGGCAAAGGAGGAAGGAGCAAGTGGAGATAAGATTGTATTTCAGAACTTGAAATTTTTTAAATTTCAATCATTAGAAAGGCTCACAAGCATTTGCCGAGGGAACTTGGGCTCAACTTCCCAGCCTTGGAAAATGTAAATTGTGGAACAATGTCCCGATATGAACAGCATCTGTCAGGGAAAGTTAATCACGGGCACCTTGAAAGTAAAACCTAGGGAAGGGAAGGGAAGGGAAGGGAAGGGAAAAGGCATCGGACTGATGATCTGAGTGCCACCATTAAGAGATTGAGCGAAGAAGAGTGTACAAATTGGCTTCTAAACTTAAAAGTGGTGTTGGCTTTCCTCTCTTCTTGTTAATGGTTTACATATTCTTTCTATGCTAATTTTGCTCTTCGTGGCTCATGCCATGCATATTCAGCCCCCATCATTCCCTTTTGGGTTAATTTGATAAACAGATATTTCTTAATTATCAAAATGCTTTTTGAATCGTAATGTTGTTTTCTTATTGCTATTAGCCATCAAGACAAGGAAGAACACAGCAGAGCTAACAGACCAACTTGAAGATGAGCAACCCAGTTTTGAAGGTGCACAGCAGCAACTGGATTTCCCCAAAGAAGCTTTCCATCTGATTGTTTAAACTCTGTTATACTCAGGTTAGATTTCACTCATGAAAGTGTATTATCAAATTTCAGTTAGATCATCCGAACATAAATTTTTTAAGGTTCTCCATAGTTGCTGAAGTAAATGTAGAGCCATGCAGCTACCTTTAGAGGCTCAAAGAAACACAACAGCTATCATCTGCAAAATGCAATTGAGACACTACTCCGGGCCAGTCACCATCACACTTCTTGCCGACCCCATCATTAACAATGTTCATAAGTTATAATGGCAAGAATTGAAGCACACATAATCAAAGGAGATAATCAGTTATCAAGCCAAATGATAGATGGCTGCAAAGGAGGCAACTTAAAAACTATTAAGCATCATATTGCTTTTACCACCGAAAGTTACATATACCAACATCCAAAAGAATGTAGCTAGGATTTTCCGTTAGATGAAATTATGCTATTTACCGTACAGCAGTTACTGTTAACCCTGTAATGCATATTCAATTAAGCCAAAAACCATATTTGCTGTATGGGAAATTATGCGCCAGAAACTTTCACCATTGAATATTATGCACAAACCGATAATGATAGATGATGCTGACATCAAAGAAAATCAAGTTAAAAACCTGCAGCATTTCCTTCGCCAATTCAGAATCTGCAATTAAGCTCCACCATCAGCCTGATTAACTGCAGGACATTGCAGCTTGCCCTACCCATTTGAGCAATTATTTTCTGAAGAATCCCTAGCAGTTGGATCAGGCTCAATTTCCTCTGCAATGACCCTCGGCAACTTTAGTAGCAATCGTTGCTGTTCAGATGATTTCTTAAGCATTTCTCTTTCATCCAAAAATCGCTCTAACGTATAAAATCAAGGGAAGTTAAGGCACGACCATTCATTTGAAGTTAGCATAGAACCTGGACATGTGGACACGTTACACATAACACTGCATTCACTATGCAGACAATATTTTATACATAACAAAAACATAAGTTACTGAGGATATACTAGTTCGAGGCAATCTTCTAGAAGTTTATATAAAAGTTTTGTTCAGAAAATCAAGAGAAAAAATTGGATCCTCCCAGAAGAAAAGTAAGAGTTGGCTTTCATAAGAGGCATGTTTAAAATTTTAAATTACCAATTCAGGTGAATTTCAGGTATTGGTAGTTACCAAGCATACGTTACTCTGGCTGACTCTACAATATAGCTCAACATCATAAAAAGGATATATATATCTCCGTCCCTTCTCATGTGCAAAATCAATTTTATTCTGCAAGCTGACCAATTGTCTTCGAATCCACTGGCAACAATATTCCATATAATGCAAAGACAATTAAAGAAATCTACATTCAATTAATTAATAACAAGAAAAGTGAAATGAACTATAAATAGATATAGATATTAGACTCGCAAAGACATCAACGATATTATTCAACCAACTACTCCAAAATGCGCATCAAAACCAATTTCTAATCAAATAAATGAATTTTCACAAATCATGTGCATTATCAATGCAGGGTAATGATAGCATAAAGATGATATCATGCAAAGATAAATTCTTGGGTAATAAGAAAGACAGGAAAGTATATATTTCAAATTAATTATTCAAATAGAACCTCCTTTTAAAGATAGTACCTCATCTTAAATATATACTGGCCAAAAGGTCTAAGATGTCCATAATCAACACCTCTCCCCCTCAATCATGCACACACCCACACCCAAAAACAGACAGTTATACTAAAGTGCAAGTATGCTGCTCTAAATTCATTAACCAGCATTTGCATTTAATCCCTTTTATCAAACTGCAAGCCCCAAGAGATAATCAAGTGATCAGACCTCCTAAAGTTTCAGAGCCAAGGCATTGGGAATCAAAATGCTAACGAAAACACATAACCTTTCTAAAGTATAACAAGAGAATCAGAATGATTACATATACATACATTCTTTGTTACATCTTCATGCAAACTTTTCGCCTTCTGTTCAAGCTCCACCTGTCAATCAGAATATTCTGATTAAATTTTTGAACAACCTGTTTCCCTACTTGCTAAGAATTTTAATAAATCCAGATTCAATAAACATTAATTAAAATAAATAGGAAGCCATGATACAACACACAATGTCAAACTTTGCCATTTAACTTAAATTGTTTTTCCTTCAAGATAAAGAGATTGAAGTTTCTAAACAATGAAATGACCAGTAATAACATAGAAGGATATGTTACAGTTTAAGTGGCTCACACATGAAACTCACATCCATGAAAGAAAAGTATTTCATCTTTCTCTTAAACTGAACTCAAAATTGTAAAATTGCAAATGTAACCATATATAGTCACCAAGAAACTCATAATCCAGATCTTGAGGTTAATCTCCTAAATCCTAATAGCATATCTCTAACACCAAGCAACAGAAGGACTGAAACACCCTTCAACAAGATGCACATTGAGAGAACTGTGATTATAGGTTGATTAAAATCATCAATAGATCTCTTTCACCCATTGCCAGCTTGTATATGATGGACGTTAATGCACTTAATAGCAATATCTTTCAGTTTTCAAACATGTTAACGAAATACGATCAAATTGCAAAGTGTATAAGCTTTGAGTTACAAAAAATCTTTCATCCTGGGTGAAGGCAATGTTCTAGTATGGAAGAAAACCCTCAAAAGTGCATTTTCCAAGTCGGAAGAAGAGAATGTCCTTCAAGTCAAATTCAAATCACTTCTGCCTTCCCACAAAGTGATAAGTTTTGCTAAGTTTTTCTGTAAGCAATTATTGACCCCTTGAATCATTTTTTCTTTTCACCAGATTGTTAGGTTCAGCACATTACTTTCACTACAAGTAATAACTCCAGCACCATTTTGAGCCA